TACATGGCTCTGGAATTGGAGGCAAGAGCTGGAAAACAAAAAAATACAATCCAAAAATATATTTTTTCCACATTAAAAATAAAATACTGAAGCCACTGGAGTAGCAAAGCGTGGAAACATTCTCCTTATAAAATTCTGCCATTTTCATTAAGCCCAGACAGACCTTCTCTCTGTAAGTGAAGTCTTACAGTCCTGTATAAAAGCTTTAAGTGATTATGCTGAAAAGATTTGGCCCATAAAGGTAACCATGAAGAAGAAAAGACAGGGTCAAGTCTATAAAACCCCATAAAGACTAGACTCCACCACATAAGGAAAAAGTATTGCTCGAAGACCAGGACGGGTATGCGCAACCAGGCAGGATATGCACCTGCCATAGCTTTGCCGTGTTCAACGAGGATTGTTGAAAGGAAACACTGGCCTTCCTCAGTCTCACTGGCAGTGTAAGGAATAAAGAGAACATTTTAAAGAACATGAATCACCTTACCACTTCTGGAAGCACCTTCTTCGCAAGATCATGGATGGCTTTGATCACAATACATAGAGATGACAGGAGGAATATGACACCCAAGATAACACAAGCTCTGGGAAAAAAAGGAGAAAAATAAAAAGACATGGTAAGAAGATATTTGGAGTTGTCAGCTCTCCCACTGCTGAAGGATAACACACAACAGAATAATAAATTAGTAATAAGAATCTTAAGAAGCTAAACATAGAGACTTGAACTAAAGAGGAGAATGAAAAGAAATGTCCAGTTCTTAAAAGCTGCATTACATGTGAGAAGAAAAGGCAGACCAGATGCTGTTTCAGAGTGAAAGACCCGTCTCTCTGGCTCCTGATGATTTATCAGGCAGTCCTCCAGAGGTCTTTTTCTCTCTGTTTGTTTTGCTAGGATCTGGCATTACAAATAATCAAGGGAACTTCATTCTCTTCACCAAACCAGGACAGATGTTTGGTAAACCTGGCCAGTAGCATAACAACCTGAAACATCTGTTTCCTCCCCAAATCTCCAAGAAAAAAGATTTTAAATGCAGATATTAAAAATACATATATGTATCAGCAAGTTAGGTGCATCACCCTGTAGACTGTCCAAGGGTCTCATACCTAAATAAGGATCAGAGTCTCATCAGATTAGATGCTGTGCAGAATTACACTCTCTATTCCTGCCCTGCAGAATCTACAATCCAGTCTTATAAAAAGCAAACAAATGGGTTAATGAATAGGAGATAAAGTAACAGAGAATAATTACTAGAGAATAATTAAGTTTTGTATAGGACACAGGCACAATAAGGTTTACAAAGGAAATAATGCATACCCAGAACTTCACATTAATAGAGAGACTCTCGCTATTGTTCAAACATACAGACCCATACTACTCTCCGATGGAGTTTGTCTTGCTGTGAAATACTTCAGGATATAAGGTTTTCATTTCCTCTACACAAACAATAATAGCCAGTCTACTACAGTATTGATATATCCATAACTCCATTTTACTAATAGCTCTTCATATAGAATTCAGTTACTATAGACAGATATAAGAGCAATTTTAATGTTTAAAGCATGAAATAATTAAGAAGTGATATCTATAAACACCTTTTCCTCAGAAGGTGAATTTCCTTTGTTTGTTATTCACCATTTGGTAGCTGTCTGTTAGCTCAGTTTATGGATGCTATAATTATTCCAGTAGCACACTCCTGTTTTCAACAACTCCGACATCAGGCCATCTGTGGTTGGCAGCACATGTAATACTCACATCAGGCTCAATCGAGAGACAGCAGCTGAACTAGCATTGCTCTGCCTAGGCCAGGAGATGCAGCTGCAGTGGTGGGGCAGGTGAGTGACTGGTTGTTCTATTCCTCAACATGAGCAACACTAAATCACGCTGTGGACGGTCCACATAATCCAACAGACAAGTTCTCAATAAAGGGGCTGCCCTTCTACAGAGGAGTACAGACAACGCAGGGGCTAGCATCCTCCCTAGTACCAGAGTGGTATTGTAGATGAGGTACTCATCTTGGGTAGGCTAAACTCTGCTACACCTCTTTTAAGAGAGATGTTTAACTCCTTTGTAGTAAATTGCAACAAAGCCCTCACTCTTCTTAAACATAACCCATTGTGAAAAGTAGGCAGAAAAGGCTTGAGACAGTCTGATTACTCTAGAGTTCTTCCCCTAGACTCAAATACAGGAGCAAAAATCTGGCCCATAGTCTGTGATAGAGAAACTCACAGGATCACTGCACAATCCTTCACAATAGATCCTGTTGTAATGATTATTTTAGTTTTTTGGAAGAGGTGCATAAACAGATACTAAAAGTTCTGCTCATTTACCCGGAACAAACACAGGCATTAGGTAACTTAAACACAGACCTGGTCTACAAAAGTTGGCTGGCTCATCTAAGCCATTTGCTAAGCCAGTGACAGCTTGACTGTGCTGGTTTTAGTTGGCTTTTCTATCATTCCCAGCAGGACTAAACCAACATAGCCACAAATCTGTGAGCTGGAAATAACAGATTAGAATTCCTTGTGCAAAGACGTATTGTTGAACACCAAGGGTATGGGCAAGAGCAGACAGTGACGCATCATCGCTTTCCCTTAGCACACCTATTTCCGGCACACAGCTTCTGAGGAAGACAGGCAAACATTCCCTAAGGGCTTGACAGGAGCCTTGCTGGTGTGAATCTGTGTGTGTGTGTCCAGGGAACCAGCACATGCCCTGGCCTCTGGCTGGAGTCGGTTCTCACATATGTTGGGGTTTGGAGTTCTCTCTGTAAACTCTCCAACCCTTCAAGCCTAATAGCAAATGTTTTGCATCTTTGCCCATGCCAGCGGATAAGTAATGACTACAGCAATCCTGACCTGCTGCTCTTATTCCCCAGATCAGTTTTACTGTGTCAAAAGAATTCCCATACACATACTTAACCAAAAATAGCTAGAAGTAGGAAGAAAAAAGGAAGATGTTAATAACAGTGACAAGGGTATTAATAGCAGGCAGAAATACAGTCTGAGGTTTGAATCAGCATTCAGTCAGCATATTTAGCAGGCCTAGCTTCTCCTTTATAGGCTGGCTTTTGGAATCCATAGCCATGCAAAATTCATCAGTCATGACATAGTCCTTTAAGTGCAAAAATACATGTTTCTTGTCTTCTTGCGTTATCAATTTATCTGCAAAGCCACTAGAACCAAAGCACTGCATGGTGTCTCTTTCAATCTCATTTGCCAGAAAAATAATTTCTCTCTAGACCGCAAAACACACATCATTCAGCTACAAACGCACAAAATCAGAAGCCTCCAAAAATTAATCTGAAATTTTAACTGTAGTACATAATAAACAAACTGTAATTGGTTACTGTAAGCTTACTTTATTTTCAAACCATTAGATGACGAAAACTTTAATACAGGCCTGCTAACTTCCATCTGCTAACAATTACTCAACTGCTTTGTAACTAAATGGTGTTTCCAACTGCACACGGAGGGTGTGAGTGCCAAGGTTGTTGGCAAATGCAATTTCATTAGTAACATTCAATTAAATTAGATGAGCCAACTGCCGTTTCTAAACAACTTCAAGTCAACTCAGAAGTACCCATAAAAATTAATGAAAGAGGAGTGATACAGAAGTGAGGTTTGGCTGAAAACCTAGTGAAGATTTTACAGATACCCCTGGCCTGGAATCACTATAGTGTAATAAATGTTCCTCAATCTCCAGGTCCCCCATGATCCCTGTCAGCAATTCACTCTGCAGCAACTCGTGGTCCACCTAATGCCCTCATATTCCCGAACACTGGAATCTTCTTGCTAAGACATGAGGGTACTCTGTCCAGCGACACCCATGCTGAACAGCTCTCCACACAGCATATGCCACCAATACCACTTATTAACGCCTCCAGCACCTCTGGAAGATTGTGTGCTCATTTTACTGCCATTTCTACATGAGTTAGTGTAAGAGCTTCCCAGTAAATATGTACTACATCACTAGAATATAACTGATCTATAAAGCAAAATAACTGATCACCACAGGTTTGACAGGCAACAGAAAAGATCTAATGAAGCAAGCATGAATCGGAAATCTCCCACAGTTCAATGCAATACATTGCTTTCTAAAAAAAAAATTTAGTCAAAACATTTTAAAATATAATGGAAACCCATGACTTGATTTTCAGAAACAATAAGCTTTCTGCAATTTTTCAGAAAGAAGTACAGTTTAAAGAATAATAGACTAATTCAGAAAGAACAAGGTGAGGGCATCTCTCCAACACTGAGGCAATAATCTACTTTTAGGTCAACTGAAGCTCAGACTTCCAAAGGTTTTTTTCTTAGAGCAGCTGCACTTGGAATGCAAGTGTAATTAAAATTATATCATTAAGTTGTTAGTAAAGAAAATTTAATATTATGATTTTAACAGTGAATCCACCAGGTCTTGTGCAGTTTGCTGTAGGTCTTGGTAGCAGATCATGATCTGCCAAAAATACTTCTTGATGTGTCTTTGATGCAGTATTTCTAGCTGAAATTCCAGAAGATAATATAAAGTATAATTCGTTGTATTAAAAAATGAACTCGTCAATTTTTCAAGAGGACTTTGTCACAGATGAAATACACTGGTAAAATCAGTTACACTGCAGCCTCGGGCATTGAGAATGAACTTATTTGGACCTTCAAAACTGCCAAAGACTTTATTCAGGTTTCAAGCTTCCGTTACTGCTAGTTCACTTCTAGAGGAATCCAGATTACACCTAAATCCTAAAAACTAAATTAATTTCTCCAATCTAAAGCTTGGTTCTGGGTGAGCTACAACCTGACAGTTTCAAAAAGACATTCTTCTGAAACCAGTACTACAAACCATATGCAACCCATTTATATTTCTACAACTCTATAAATATCCATTTTGTATTACACCAGCCCTGGATATATATGTGCACTCACACCTATCTAAGATCAGTAACTGTATTACATGACATAGAGCTGCCACCTCATCTTGCCTGTAACACATTCCCTGTACAGAGCTCTAACAGACACAATTCTTCATTTTGATTACCAATTCTCACAACTCATAAGGAAACCGGGGGGGAATCTATCCCTGTGAGTACCTGATTGGCTTTCCCCTAACCAAAAATTTATTACTTTGCATGAGTTAATTGTTTTTAAGCAAGTAGCTATGAAAATTACTGAGATTCAGGAGGTTCCATCTCCACAAACTGAGAATTTTCAAGCTGTTTTTAGTAAGTTAACATTTTTTTCCCTCTTTTTATCACAAAAATTTCCTAAGGAGAAAATGTCCAACTCTTCAATTCCTTTGCATCTAGCAGAGACAGCAATACAGCCTTCTAATTAGTGGATTTATCCTTAATTCTGTCTTATATATATAATTATTTGTTACGATTCCCTACAGGTAGTGATAAGGCTAAAACTCTGTAATCTTTCCATCCTAGAACTCAGATGTCTGTGGTGATTAATCTTCAAAGTAATAAAGCAATTTTACCTTTAGCATGGCTTTTGCCACACTGAACGCTCTTTACCTGAGTTGACCCATTCCAGCCAAAGGGACTGCTCTTCCCTGTAAGCAGCAGTCAGCCTGAAGTAAGACTATGCA